CTTTGTGGACTGGTGTTGGGTATGGGTTAATGTTGGACTTGTGGGCTTGGGCAGCATTGGGTTGGGATGTTTTCGTGATGCACATTTTCTTTGCATAAAATTCTCTCTTATACGTGAGTTGCTGTGGATTTGTTTCTCCAAAGTACCTAGACTAATACAACCACCAAGGCCAACACAGTAAGCTACAGCCTATGAGTCCATCGTGGGCAGTTAGTGTACACAGGAAGGACCTTCTTTTTCCTGGTCCCTCGCTTGGCCCTATCTAGGTAAACCAAGTCAGAGGTGCAGACTATTCAGTCCACCAAACCCCAGTGCTAGAAAATGGCCTTCAAATGCGAGCCAGGTCTTGTAGGGAAGTAGCATTCATCACATAGTCATTAGCAGTGCCTTGTCCCTGGCTCCATCCCCCATGAACACACATTCCCTACAGACTGAGGGCTAACCCATCAGCCACTCAATCTGGTGCGCCAGATGGCAGGTGCCTCTCCGGCCAGGCAGCAACACTGATTTCCTTCAGGTGGTCTCCTTTCCTCCAGGCGCAGCTCCTCCACAGGTGCTCCCTTAAACAAGTGACTACGGGGGACCCAACAGCCAACATTTCCCCCAAAGCCAAGCTGAGCAAGCCCAGAGGCGCAGGGAAGCCAGATGGACGACAGCAGAACCGACATGACAGCTGACCCCTGTGGAAGCTGTACCCAATATCCGGGAAGAGTCTGCAGCAAAATGTTCCAGGGGAGCCCAATGCATGGTGTAAAATGTCATCTAAAATATTGAAAACAAACAACAAAAACGGACTGAACTCCTCAAAGCCCCCCGCACACCCCGCAGCAGCCTTGCTCACATCAGTCTACAGTCACTGCCAAGGCCTCAGCTTGCTGCTCTGAGCACTCTAACTCACTAGCTTCAGCCTCCTAGGGAGCTTCCAACGCCGCACAAAAGCCGCGCGGGATTAGGATGGAGTGTGTTAGAGGGACATGTGCTTGCCCGAGAAGGCATTGATGGGTGCAGGTGATCATCTGTTTCTGTAGCAGGGCAGCTGTCTGTGCCCTGTGGACATGCACAGGCACAAAGGGCAGACCACCACGATGAGACACATCTATCGAGGGTGAGCCTCCTGAGGTAGAGAGGCAGGTGGCTATCAGGCAACCAGGGGCCCTCCCTAGTCCAGGTGGTATGGCAGGACCTGGAAAATGTCTCCTGTGCCTTTGTTTTCTTGTTAATGTGGGCAGTTCATCACCCCACCTTGATCTTTTTCTCACTCCCACAGCCTGTTCAGCTGGAAACCCATTTCCAGGAAGCCCTGATGTCTTGATGTCCACAGACTCACTGTGGCGACTAGGGATTGAGTGAATAAGGCTTTGGTTCTACATGATACTAGCTCTGCACCCTTAGTTAACTCCTTAACCCCCCTGGCTTCACCTCTTCGCTTTGTAAAATGGGAATCAAATAAGGATATTCCAAGAAGCAAGAGGTTCAGCCCCTATCTGGCCCGGAGACGTGCCCAATACCGGGTAGCCAACTGATAACTCACTGCCATTGAGCCAATTGCAACTCACAGTGACCCTGTAGGACAGGGTTGAATGGCTCCTGTGGGTTTCTGACACTGTGGCTCTTTATGAGAGAAGAAAGTCCCATCTTTTCCTGAGGAGTGGCTGGTGGCTTCGACCTGCTGACCTTGCAGTTAGGTGCCTAATGCATAACCACTATGCTACCAGGGCTCTTGATCAATAGAGGATCGTAACTGTACTACTAGGGGGCCTCAGAAAGCTGGTGGGAAAATTCCATCATCTCATTCCATTTTCTCACAAAGTTTCTGAAGCCCCCCCTTAAATTACTGTAAGATCTTGGGTAGCTTCTGAGACTCTATTTCTTTATTCCACTTGCCTTGGGCGTTTGAATTAGAAAGGGATTTCCTTCGCATGTATGTTCTGAGCACTCAGAGTAAGAGTACTTGAGTTAATTACAGGGACTCACAGTTAGTCCAGAAGTCAGCCAGTCTGTCTCTCTGCCTTTTAATTCCTACCTTCTGATCTCTCGATTATATCCTGGTTTCAAAGGCCGCTTATGATCAAAAGACTGCGGGCGATTCCTTGATAACTCGTTGTGTTTATAAGGACTCCCGGGAGAGCTCACACAAGGACCCAAAAGGGGGTAATGTGCTCTTTTAGTCATATTTTCCAAGGCACTCTACGATGCTGTTCCCCACGCCTGCATACAGTTAGGAACTCTGTCGTTACGTCCAAACTTTGAAGACTTTCAAAAAGAGGATGAGAAATAGCTGACCATCATCCATTTATAAACAACATAAATCTACTACATCCGAATTTCCAAAGTGTGCTCATCAGGAAATTAGCCTTTGATGAGCTGTTAACGGTCATCTTAGGAAAACTAGGCTCCCTGTTCAAATCAGGCTAGGAAACACTGCATATCAAGGCCACCTCTTAGAGACTCACAATGCATTCGCATATTAAAGTAAGTCTTCCAGTGAAGCAGCTTGTTTAATCGTGTTTCACCCAAACCAAACCAACCAACTCCCCTGTCATCAAGTTAATTCTGACTCATAGCCATCCTATGCAGGTTTTCTGAGACGGCCTTGCCTTTCTCCTCCAGAATGGCTGGTGAGTTTGAACTGTTGACCTTGTGACTTGCAGGCCAATGCCTAACCTACAGCACCACTTTCCAAGGTGTTGCGCATGGAACCCTTTTCCCTGGAGCCCCAGAATGTGTGTCTCTCAGCAGTGTTTCCCAGGGCAGAATTTGAGATATGCCACTCTAAACCCATGCAGGGAATTAACCCCCTAGCGAGCTGCTGTGGGGTCGCTTCTGACGGAGGGCAAGCCCTGTGTGTCGGGGTCCTGCTGGGCTCCTCAGACTGTTCCAGGGCTGATTGTGTGAAAGCACATTTTCAAGCTTTTCTGCCAAGGCCCTTCTGGGTGGACTCTGGCTGCCAATC